GACCACCGTAAAGAACTCTTTCACCGTTCACTTTCTCAATCTCGTTCCTCGGCCTCGTTTCCAACCGCCTTCGCCGATCAGATCTTTAATTCGCTTTCGGCGGTGAAGTTCTTCTTCTCCGAGATGATTTGACGGCGCCACAGTCTAGATTCCACTTCTTTCGACATCTCTTCAGTCGTTCTTCTTTCCAATTAGGGTTATACGTTAGAGGTATAGTATATCTCGTGGCTAAGAATTAGGAAATGTTGAAGATTCTTGAAGATTTGGTATTTTCTCAACTTGGAGACCAAGGCTAGGGTTGTTGTCATAGTGACGTCCTATTGTGTATAAATAGAGAGTCATGGTCATTTGTAAGGATCAATCCCATGATGTGAGAGTTCTTAGTAAAGGTTTGGGGGGGGGGGAGGGGAGTTCTTGTAAGAACACAAAACAAAGAGGCTAAGGTGTAGCTGTAAGGTTCGTGGATTGGGTATAGATCCTTGAACACGTGAGGCTAGGATTGAAGTTGGCAAGTGAAACTTGTAAGTGCACTTATCATTTGATCTAGTAAAGCATATTGAAAAAAAAAACCCGTGTTCTTTGTGTTCGTTGGCTGTACAAGCACCTGTATCAGCAACTATCGCACTTGCCATATATTACAGTCCTATATTATTCTCTACTACAGCAGTTCTCGCACTTACAATTAGTACCAGAGCGGGCACTTGTCCAAAATTTATACAACTGAGATCCTATGGAGAGAAATCTGACCATAAAAGAATTAAATATAAGAAAGCTCAAAACCCCCTAAAACCACAAAAGCATATGATTATCTGGACTGAATAATAAATGATATTTAAAGATTATCTAAATATCTCGTTTGCATCATAAACATTGGACAAAAGAGGAATTAAGGAACTAAATTACTAAAGTACAAGAAGCAAATACAATCATTAGGGATATATTACGAAGACTAAATTTTCATAAAGATACTAATCATCTTTGCTAATCACTAAAAATGACTAGCTAAACTCTCATTTGCAAATTAAATAACAAACTAACATTATTTAAAAGTCTAATTGGCTGACACATTAGCCTAGTTAACATTAACTTTCATTGAGTAAGGTACTACGGTTGAAAATGTTCATCTAAAGCTTGTTGAGCCATTTTCACACTTTCGGCATTAAAAACTCATGTTCTAGAACTGATTGATCAGTTATAGTCTAGTATTACGATCGCCTATGGAAGGAGCCAATAATTATTAACCATATTTCATCATCTAAACATAATATATAGGCCCATTCCCTTGATTTTCTCTAAGATCGAATTAGACTACTTAGAG